CTGTAGGCATAGTAGATTTTAGAATTTTAAGACAGCTGTGTTACTAAATACCTGTAATCACAGAATACCAGTATATTAGAGCTAGGAGGTATCTTAGAGATCGTGTTGTAGTTCAACCTCTCCATTGGACAGACGAGTAAACAAAGGGCCAGGCAGGTTAAGCTACTTACCTCAAGGCCAGGTGGTTAGTAGCAGAGCTGGGACTAGGACTCAGGTCTCTTGGCTCTAAGGTAAGTGTTCTTTCTACTACATGTCATGGCAGTATAGATACTTTTAAAAAAATGGAAATAATAAATGCAGTTTTATCATGTAGACTACTCACTCTTCGAATAGTCTCACTGGACTTATTTGACCTATTATTACTCGAGGAGTGGACAAAGAGGCATAGTGAGAAGGTTGGAACATTGTCTTTAACCAGCATTACCATTGTTTTTAACAAACCAACATTACCTGTCTACCCACAAACACAAAGGCTTCACCAGGTTGTTTGTTGAGACTCCTTACTTTAATTCCAGAAACAAATATATCTACTGGAAATTGGCTTTAGATATATAGATGCCCTATGGGAAACATTTTCTGTTAATACCTGTTGGCTTATGGTGAATCACTTGAGCTGGGGAGTTCTGAGCTGCAATAGGGCTAAAGATGATCTGGTGCCTGCTCTAAGTCTAGTACCAATATGAAAAGCCTTTGGGAGCTGCCTAAAGAGGGGGTAAACTAGCCCAGGTAAGAAAATGGAGCACATCCATGCTTTTCCCTGTGCTGATCAGGAGGGTGATCCAGCCTGTGAGGGGCCACTGCTACACTTCTAGCCTGGCAAGATATTGAGACCCAATTTCAAAAAACAACAGAAAAATCTATTGGCTTAATCTCAGCTTCTGGGATTTTCAGGAAGGAAACAAAATGATTGTGGTCATTAGAAGCAATTGATTTCAATTTTAAAAGGCATTTAATAAGATGTTAAATAAATATTTGGTGAATGGAATGAATATTTATCCCAATTTTAATAATATTAATCCCTGTTTCCCCCCATGGGCATCAATTGATACTTTCCTCACATGATAGGTTGCTCAACGGACAGGCTATGGGTGGCCATGCATTAATCAGATTTCCCTCTTCACTTTTTTGGTAGGTTTGCCAGGATGGTGGATAAGAGTATTTACATCATCCAAGGAGAGATTAACATTGTGGTAGGGGCCATCAAACGGAATGCCAGATGGAGCACTCACACCCCTGTGGTAAGTTAGGGGAATGGGTAGAATTCTAGACTCTGATGGTTTAACTGCTGATTTGCCTTAGGGGATTCATCAGGCATTTTCTGTCACTAAATAAATGTTTGATGAATTGAATTAGGGTTACAAGTTTCTTCTAGTAGGATTTCCAATAATAGAGAAAATAATACTCCATTATATTTGTATAGTGTACATTTTTCAAGGTACTTTCATATTCTTATCTCATTTGTTCCTCTCAACAGCCACATGAAGTAGGCAAGCATTATTTCAACATTCTGCAGGTGAAGAGATTCAGGCTTAGAGAGTTTAAGTGTATTGTCCAAGTTGGTTAGTATGTGGCAGAGCCAGCATTAGAATTTAGGCCTCTTGGTTTCTAACCAAATGCTCTTTCCAGAATTCGGGATTTCCTTTAGCATTGCCTCAGGAATCTTTCAGTTTCACGTTAACCAATAACACATGTTCTTCTTTAACTCATGGTATAAAAGATTTCCTCATTCTATTGCTTTTTCTGGTTGTTTTTCAACATTCAGATAATCACACTTCTACCAGGTATATGTACTAGTAAGTGGTGCTGAATAAGGATTTCAACTCAGACTCTCTCACTTTAAATCTACACTCTTTCTACTTTTCTGTGGTCTCTAACCTTATTGTCTCTGACAGATCTGTAGGTGGCAAGCCCAAGAAAGCATTCTGAACTCTTCCTTGAATTTTGTGGATAGCTTTAGTAGAGTCTACCTTTAGATTTGACCTGTTAGTTTCAAATGCTTTCTGAGTAGGTCATCCCAGTGCTCTGGATTATGTAGGCCAGAGCCTGGGAAAGACTCCTTTTGACTCTCTACTTTACACTGGAATCATTTTGGAAAGTTTTATTTAAGAGACAAGGCTTACTGAACAATTAATTTTCTTTGAGGAGTGGTATATACATTGTTTTAAGAATACCTGTTAGTGTAAAAATATTACAAAATGGATAAACTAGGGGGTGAATATTTACATCATGGAAAAATTTTTCATTTTGTGATACGGATTTGTCATAGGATTCCTTTAAATAGGTTGACCTAATGCAAATTTGAATTGCACAAACTTTTCCAAATATACATGTGTTACATAAAGTAAAACATACCTATATTACTTGTGCTTTTCACAACATTAGTCAGAACCCTGCCAAGCTATGGAAGGTGTTTTTTCTTCTTACAGACCTTACTTTCCCAAAGCATATTTTTTCACATGCTTCAAAAAGTTTTGTATTTAGGCACAGATCAGACTGTTACTTGGGAGCTGTTTGTGGCACTCATGAGAAGTCAAGGAAGACCTGACTTATTTTGTTATTCCTGTTAACTGTATCTAGATGCCAAATTCACCTAAATGAGCTTGACTCTGAGTAAGTGCCTGGTGATATGTCTGGAAAAGAAAATAGTTTATAAATGCTTATTTATGTAGTGTGTGTCTTTGCTGTGAAACCTTTTGTTTGCAGATTTTTTCCTCTATTGAAACCCACTGTCAAGCCCCATTAAAGATAAAATCTTGACCATCTGTAATTCGACCCTACAAAGAAAATAGGCCAGTTCCAGTCACTGATGAATAAGCTTTTGCTTGAGTTGAAAGTGGACCTTCTTATGGCATTCATTTATTCAGAGAAACTATTTTCATTCCATGGCACATTTGGAGGTTTCTAAACTTGCTGTAGCATCCCTCAGAGACCATAGTGGCAAAAAAGGACGGTGCTTGCATGCACAGAAATTATTGTAATGAATATACTCGACCCACTGTAATGAAAGAGAAAAAAGAAAGCAGATAGAATAGGACAAATATATAGGAATCAGTAACGGTAATGACTCTTTTGCCAAGAGCAGAGCTCAGATTAAGAGCCACAGATTTATTATACCTTGGTCAAGTACTGCACTGGGTTCCAGGTTAGGAGGATGGGAATAGGCACATATATTGAAGAGGAGAGGGTCAAGAGGCATAAGACATAATGGGCAATAGCAACCCTATAGATTATAAAGGAAAAGAGTTTGAGCTGTAATCCAGATTTCTGTGGTGCAGAAAGAGCCATTGTCATGCATGGTGATCCTGTAGTAGTTTGGTTGGTATTATGCATCATGACCTCAGAAGCCTTGGTTTGCATCTGAGTCATGGTGATTGGTAATAGTCACATTTTGTTTTAGAAGACGTAATGTGTTATATAGTGAAAGGAGTACTGGACTTGGAGTGAGAAGACTTGTATTTCAATCTTGGCTCTTGCACTTACTAGATTTGTCACCCTAGAGAAGTCACTTAAAATCTTTGAGCCTCAGTTTCCTCATGTGTGAAATGAGGATACCTGCTCTACCTATCTCACAGTGCTATTGTGAGATTCAAATGAGATAATAATAAGTGAAATTGTTGTGTAAGCTATAAAGCACACTCAAAGGTAAGGGATGACAGTCATAATTATTAAGAAAATACTGGGGGCAGCTAGGTGGCGCAGTGGATAGAGCACCGCCCTTGTTTCAGGAGGACCTGAGTTCAGATGTGGTCTCAGACCAAACATTTCATACTTACTAGCTGTGTGACCCTGGGCAAGTCACTTAACCCCAATTGCCTAAAAATTAAAAAGAATTTAAAAAGAAAAAAAAGAAAATACTGATGTGTCTTCATTTGTTGGTTAAGAAGTACTGTGCCAGCATTCTAATTAAGTTTTTAAGGCCTTAAATGGCTTCTTTTTGACTTGAAAGACTTAGTTCCTCATGCTTAATATCCAGCATATAGCCCAGGATGTTTTACTCATTTATGTAGATTTGAGCCAGGAGTTCTATAATTGCACTGCTCAATTATTTTTGTTGTTTTATTTTTGTTAAAACATATGTCTGGATGTTCTAAGACCTGATAGCATAGTGTCTGTGAGGAGAAAACTTCAACCAATAAATACCATATTGACTTTCACTATATGAGAGGCAGCACAATGTAGTAAATAGAGAGTTAGCTTTGGAGTCAGGAATACCTGGGTGTATGTCCTACTGCTGACATGGACCAACTGTCTGACAATGTTATTAAGTGTTGTAGTCCCCTCAGGCAACTCTAAGACTTGCAGAGGAGATGTTGATCTGCATCATCAAAGACAGTTTCCCTACTGGTAGTTATTTACATGAATGAAATCATAGAACTTGACTCTCTCTTTGCTCTTTCCGTTGACTTACATAGTTTCTCAGTCTTGATTTTGAAGAAAAATATATGTTTTCCCCATATAACTCCATATCAGAAGCAGTAAGAGCCCCCTCTGAAGGCCTGGTAAGAGCAATTGAAGAACTGTGAATAACCCTAGTTTTGAAGTTAAAAATAAAGTACTTAGCCATTATTAATAGCTCTTTAATTCCTTTTAACAATTCTTTAGAAGTTTAGCTAGGAGAGAAATTATATTGGGTTTTGGGGTTCAGGAACCATTTATCTTTTCATAAAATATTTACTAAAAATGGAAGAGTTATTAATAGAGAAGGCAGTGTAAAATTCCTTAGTTGGCCTTAACCCAATGTCCTGTTTCTTAGAACTATCTTGCAGCCTTTTCCTTCCTGCTCTCACACATCTGTTGGCTATCTCTTTATTCAGGACAAGTGAGGTGCTGTAAAAGGTGACTAACTTCCCTTTTATGAAAAGAAGCAAACCTCCAACTAGGAATTCTAGTTGGTATCAGAAAAAGAGATCTAGTTCTTGTCCTTCTTGATGAATTTTTCATCGTAATTCCCTTTTGGCCCAATAATAACTTCTGTTTCCATGTGATCTACAGGATGAAGAACGAGATCCCTTGCTACATAGTTTCAGTCAACTAAAGGAGGTATTAAATAATATAACAGGTAAGCTTCCCATTATATAAAGAGAACTACTTACCTGAGACAGAAAATACATATGTACACTTTGGTGTATATGATTTACTTCCTAATGTGTAATATCTCTCCTAAAGCATTGACTATAGTACCACACTCCTAATGAACATTGATTGTTCATTCATTCCATTCTTTTCCCTGCTTTGATATGTTTACTTGTACTGTTTAAAAAACAACAACAACAATAACAGCAAACACACACACACACACCCCTTTCTCCCATCTACATGTTAGCATGCACCAAAGACCAGAAATTGCCAGTAGAAGTTGGGTACTTATTGTTTGATACAAACACAAATAGGCTTTGGATGGACACCTATGCAGTATGTATCTTTTTTTGGAAACTCTGCCATTTTTTTCCTCCTAGAGCAGGATTTTTTAAAATTTGGGTTCTTTGAACTTTTTAAAAAATATATTTTGATAAAATAGTTGGTTTCCTTTGAAATCCTATGTTTTATTTTATAAATTTGAAGACATGATTCTGAGAAAGGGTCCATGGGCTTCACCAGCCTGCCAAAGGGGCACAGAAAGAGACACACACAAAAAGGTTCAGAACCCCTGCCCTAGACAAACTACTGTCAAGTCTTATTGAAGGTAAAGTCTTAACTATTTGTAATGCAGTTTCATTTGTCTATGACTATGCTGCTCAGTGTTTTTACCAGTAATTTGGATGAAGGCTTATTTAATTTTCAGATAATGAAAAAGTGAGAGGACTAACTAACATGTTGGATTATGGAGTCAGGATTCAAAAACATTGGGGTGGGCTAGAATCGTGGGCCTGATTGAATAAGATGAAATTTAACAAAGATAAATTAAATTTCTATGCTTGTGAAGTTAATTATTTTAATCCAAGTATAGGATGTGAAAAAGATCTGGGTTTTAAATGTTTTGCAAACTCAATATGAGTCATGAATATGATCTTGAGGAGATTCTAAGGGAAGGAACTCTACAAGAGAAAGAGCTCTGAGCATAAAGTCACAGGACCCAAAGTTGATTCTGGCTCCATTCACTACCCATATCACCTTAGCAAATCATTTAGCATCTTTGGGCTTCAGTTTCCTCATCTGTAATGAGGAGGTTGGACTAAATGACCCCTAAGGTCCCTTTTAACTCTAGATCTATGATCCTGAGTCATTCATGGTAGCCAATAAAAGCTAAAGCTCTTTTAGGCTGCAGTAAGAAAGGCATAGTATCCAGGTTGAAGAAAGTAGTAATTCTGACATACTCTGCCCTGATCAGGTCATGTCTGGATTACCATGTGCAGTTCAGATACTTTATTTTAGGAAGAATATTGATTAGCTGGAAAGCATCCAGAAGAGATTGTTCAGTATGATTAATGACCTGAAGACCATGGGGAACCTTATGAAGACTGATAGAAGGAACTAGAATTGTTTAGCCTGGAAAAGAGAGATTTGGAGAGGGATTTGCAATACTGTCTTCAAATATTTGAAGGTTTGTCACACAAAAGAGAAATTAGACTTTTAAATTAAAAAGAGACATTTTTAGCAATTGGGGCTGATTAACAATTGGATGGGCTGCCTTTTGAAGTTATCCATTCCTGTCCCAGTAGGTGTTCAACTGAAGGCTAGATGAACAAGTGTTGTGGATCATATAGAAGGGCTTCATGCAGGAGAGTTGTACAAAACAGCTTCTGAGGTCCTTTCCAACTTTAGGGTTGGATGGTTCTGTGGAACATGTTTATATAAATTTATTACAGTCTTATTTATATACCTACACTTACGTACGTTATACTTTTTAGTTGTTAAAATGGTTTGTTTGGGGAAAAAAGGTATTCTTGGTCAGATCTGAGATCCCTTCCAACTCTTGAATTCTGTCATTAGGGCAAATATTATCCCTATTTCACAGATGAAGAAGCTAAAGCTAAGTTTCAGTGACTTTCCCAACATTACATAGCCAGTGAATGACAGAAGCAGGACTAAAACTCAAGTCTTCTGACCCCTTTTGAAATTCGCTTTTCACTAGAATATATTATTTTTGTCCATTTAGCCCAAGTACATTCACCTGACATACCCACTCCTGCCTGTAGTCTAAAGGAGAAGGGTTCTGATCTGTATTTTGTTACCAGCTGATAAGGGGTTGTAGACGGACAGAAGCTATCTGAAGGCAGCTCTGTCTTAGCATTTTTTCCAGAAGAAGTTCCTTTGGACCTATAGTTATTGGAAAATTTTAGCCAAAAAGGATCAAGTAAAGACAGTCCTGACAATAATTAATTTGCAATGTCAATGCATAAACTATATTGTACTTCTGTCTAATAGATAATACCATACGTATGTAATCCAGCTGTTTTAGAAAGTTGGAGTTGAATTATGGGCATAATCCTAGGAAAAAAGAACAAATTTCATTCTTAGAATGAACATGAATGTGCCATGAACAAAGACTACGTCTACATGAATGGGGCCAAGCTTGTACATATTTGGATGGAGTACTCTAGCAGCAGAATGATCAAGCTAGGGAACCAACACTGTTTATCTTTTTGGTATTTTGAGAATCTTGTCCACCTGTAGCAATACTCCCTACTTTGGTCTACCTACTTGTAGTCTGATTACCAACATATGTTCCAGATCTTGTTCATATTTCTTCTCTTTCTTACTTGAGCTTCAGGTCATGGACCATCACACACTACATGGTATAACTCGGTGGTTTAATATGTCTGATGTAGAGCTTGTAAGTCTGCTGCCTAATTTCTTTTTCATCCTTGAATTAGAGAGCTATTTACCTGCTACTAGAAACTAATGAAAACCAAAATGTTTTGGGGAGCCAGCTCTGTCAGATGGTGATAAGAATACTGCTGGAGTTGCCAGGCTATTACAGTGGGGAAGGAGGTAGCAGCATCTTCCAGTGGCTAGCAGATGTGACAGTTGTTGACTCTGATTTATGCCAAGGCTTCCTTGTTGTTTGGGGCTTCTAGAATATGTTACCTGCTTGAATGAATGATAGATTGCAGCCAAAATAGTTCATTTACGTGGTCTTTTAGAAAGTAGAATTGGTTCTGTTGGTGACCCCACACACTGCTGGCTCACAGAAGCAGGTTTATGGGTCAGCTGCCCCTGTGGTCTTGGATTCTTCAAGCCATGACAAATTTTTTGTTTCTTCCGCTGAAACAAACCGATTTTTTCTGACTGGCAGTGTCAGGAGGGTTGCCTCCCTGGAAGCTTGCTAATAAAAGGGTCTGGGAGAGAGCTCTGAACTTGGAGAAAGGCAATTAAAGGGACTCAAGACTTTTTACACATCCAGGAAAAGTGTTCTGCTTAGTTTGAGGCAATAAGGGCAATTCTAGTACTTTCATTCCAAAGTTTAGCACACTAAGATAACCTGTACTTCAGCCTTCAATACAAAATCCCTGAATGTCTGGATCTGGTTCTGGGCTATAAACGCTTGTTCTCTTGCTTTCTGAAGTTGAGCAAAGTTGAGCAAGAGAGTAAGACATTTATCATAAGAATCAATTAATTCATCCTATATTATCAATAAACCAAAGCAAGTTACTGCTTTTTTTTTCCCTTATAAATGTTCAGAGTAGTTGAATGGGAGAGAGTTTGGGGTACATTGGCATCTTTTGCTTCCCCAGTCTTATGGAAAGGGAAGAACCGATTGTTAAAGTATTGTTAAAGTGACTTTAGCAGTCACTATTAATGAAAAGAACTGTTTGGTTATTGTATAACCTGCGGAGTCTAATAAATTAGAATATTGTAATGCAGAAGTTAGAAGGCTTTGACTACTGAAGGTTTAACATGAAAGAAGCCATATATGATCTGGGAACCCTATCTGAGTACTCCTGGCCTAGATGGTGCCTTAATTCATGCACAAGCAAAGGGACTGGCTGAGTTCTTATTCATGACTTGTCCTTAAAAGTCTCTCTTCATCCACATCATCTTCCCATTAGCCTTGTCAGATAGTTGTCCTGAAGAAATTAATGTTGTGGGCCAGAAGCTGGAATGAATTCATGATGTTTGTCTGCAGATCCTGGGGCTATAGTGGGTAACCTCTGGCTGGATTTTCCCACTGTACTCTGAACCCATTGCCTGTTTCAGGCAGCATGAGGCTCAGCTTAGCCTCTTGGCCCAGTTTGTCTTTTTATGTCTCTCTCATTAACACAAGGAAGCACATGGCTTTTATATTTAAATTTATTCAAGCTGTAATCTTTGACATTTGAGTTAGCTTTTAGTACAGTTTTGCATTTATAGTAATATATATTATGTATTTTCTCCATCCCCAAAGAATCTGTTTTAATCTTTTCCGGATGCAAATTTTATGCCGTCTTGTCCTGTCTCCCCTCTTCTGCTCTCCTTCCCCTCCCCCTACAGAGTATGTTTGATCAGGTGTGGCAGGAATATCCACTGTCAAGCTGCGCCCTTTATATTAGTCAATATTATCCTTCTCCCCCCCTCCCTGTCTGCCTGGCCCTTTGGGCTTTCCCAGTTGATTTATAATTTTGGAATTCTCATCGGAGTCTGTAATACAGTTTGTTCATTATTTAACCAAAACCTGTTTAATGAGCAGAGAGAGGCAATGTAAATGTTAGGCATGTTGCAGTGAAGTACCTTTGGGCTCCTCAGGGCGGGTGGACCATTAACTCTGTTGTGCCTGCAGTGCTAGGGTGCCCTAACTGGGGTGGGGCTTGGGAAGGAGAAGGGTCACTGCTTCCAGCTTCCTTCCCCTTAAGTCCAGTCATGGGTACAAATTTCAAGAAGTTATTCTCATCCCACTAGGTGGCCTATTGTGTCCTTTCGAGCTCCTCTTGTTGAAGTTGCCCCCTGTCACGTCGAGGCCATGCATAGAATCTGTGGTTTGGAGAAAGTAGGATGTCTGATCCTTTCCTGGGTTTCAGACCTGTCTGGCACATGTAGACAGACTAGAAGGGAAACTGCCAATCTATATGATCTGTGGTCTTTGATTATTATAATTTTTTTTAATTCCCAGGCTTTCTGAATCTGTGTAGGGCTCAGAATCCA